TGACCCACTCATTTTTTTTGTTTTACAGGTAGTGGACCCAGAGCATAATTTGGATGATGATGAGAGATTTTTGGATTATAGGTCAGTACTTGTAAATAACTGTTGTAAGGCTTATAATGTACTATTTATGCTTTTGATCTGTATCGAACATGACATCCCGAGTCTTTTTAATGAAATAAATTTCTATAGAAATGCTTTGATAAATCTTTATCATATTTTATTTTGGGAACAAATTCGACAACACTTTTAATCAAAGGATTACTCTAATTTAATTATAAAAGCATAAACTAAATCGGTCTTTTCTGGCCGTGAAATTGAGGATGTCACAAATCCTCCGGACATTCGAAAAATAGGAGAGTGGGTGGAAACAAAAGAGCTGGTGGAAACAAGAGAAACGCAAGGGCACTAAAAGTTGAGGAGGAAATCATCAAGTTTGCAAGGATGCTTGTGAGTCGTGGGTGAGGAGTGTAGGAATGAATTTTGGTTACCTTTGATGACTTTTTAGATGTTACATTTGATTACTTTTACTATTTCTTTGTTGCATGACTTTTGGATGTTAGGTTTGATGACTTTTCTAGGACTTTTGTTATGTTACGTTTGATGAATTTTGTATGCATGAGTTTTTTTATTGGATAATTTTTGGTGCCTCACTTTTCTGTTATTAGATAATATTTTTTTTTATTTACTTTATATTTGACATGTTATAAATATTTTGGTTGTTTATTTTATATTTGACATGTTATACGTAATTCTATTTTACAGGTCAAGTATGATTTCTAATGGAGAAGCTTTAGCTTTTATTTTACTTGTCTTGTATTAGTTGAGGTTAAACCGGCCAAGGCAAAAAAAAATTCATAGAATAAGAGATAATGATTTGAGCGGGTATGCGTATATGCAAGATTTGATACACGGGGACCCTATCGAATGTTACGATATGATGCGTCTTACACAAGAGGCATTTGTATTATTATGCAATCATTTTACGCAAAGAAGTTGGTTGCAAGCTAGTAGAACGATAAGCATTGAAGAGAAGATGGTTATGTTTTTACATGTTATAGGACATAATGAACGTTTTCGAGCGGTTAAAGGAAGATTTCATCACTCCACACAAAGCATTCATCAATGTTTTCATGAGGTCTTAAATGCAATGATATGTTTTGCAAAAGAAATTATAGTACCAACAAATCCTAATCCATCAAGACATGCCTCAGAACGACAAAGACAGTTAAAAAGCTATATTTTCTGGAGCAATATGTGCACTAGATGGAACTCTTGTACATGCAATTGTGCCCGTTGATCAACTAACGAGGTATAGGGGAAGAGGAAAAGGTGAATGTTATCAAAATGTATTAGGAATTTGTGATTTTGATATGATATTCACCTTTGTATGGGCTGGATGGGAAGGCATAGCACATTATTCAAGAGTTTTGAAAGAAGTTGCATTCAATCCGTCTTCCGGATTTCCATTCCCTCCACCAGGTTTGTAATATTTATATAAGTTTATCTATATTCTTTATATAAATTTTATTATCTATATTCTTTATATAATAAATGTCACTCACCTACAGATAAATATTATATTTTTGATGTCGTATATACCAACACTCGTGGGTTCATGGCTCCGTACCATGGCACTAGGTATTGGTTAGCCGATTTTCGAGGACGTCGACCTTTAACTAAAGAAGAAAGGTTCAATCTTGCTCATGCACAACTTAGAAATGTTATTGAGCGTGCTTATGGTGTATTGAAGGCGATATTCCCAATCTTAAAACAAATGGCTTCTTATCCTTTTCCGATACAAAGAGACATAGTCATTGCTTGTGTCGCGGTCCATAATTTTATAAGGAAATACAATATCCAAGATGAGTTATTTGAGAATTTTGAATAGAACGTTATGGTTAATCTTGATGTGCACGGTGGAGGAATTGAAGGCGAAAACACACAAGGCATAGAGTGGGGTTCAGAAGACGTTGAATACATGGTTACTTTGCATGAGCAGATTGCTAATCAACTACTCTAACCCGGTTTACTTTAGAGATGTATGCAAATTAGTAATTTACTTTTGATTTCAGCATGTTTCTATTTGGATTTTGATTGATTTATGTTTAATTACTTTGTAAGACAATTTGTATTCAGATTTTTAAATGATTATTGTGTAATTTTGATTTTGTATGATAATTTATATGTTTTTATAATCATTCAACAACTTCATCCATCACAGAATAGAACAGTAGGGTAATATGGTCATTTTCATCATTCAGCACAGTCAATCATATGTACAATCAAATATCATTGTTTCTTTCCCAGTCTGAAAACTTTCCCAGACAGCACTTTCCCATACAGCACTTTCCCAGACAGTAACTATCAAATAGCCCCTGAGACATGGTCAATCTGTCAAACATTTTTTATTCGCCTTAATTGCTCGTGATGAATTTATCTTCTTTCAAATGCATCAATTCCTTGCTGAAACCATTGGAGATTATAATATGATTCCAACTCCCACAAAGACTCATTGAATGAGTGGTGGAGGCCTAAGAAGCTTAGGCAATCTTGTATTCAAAATATAAAAATAGCGAATTCCTTATATATTTTTAAACTTCATAAGAAGAAGTTAAACTCCCACGAAGACCCGTGGACTAGGTGGTAGGGAACCCATGAGACACAGGTTGCACTTGCAATAACAAGTCAAATGAATAATGTCAATTCAGATGCAAAGCACAATGTGTTATATTATGGATATCGTGCAAGAAAACTATCTCCCACCAACGTGTAGAATAGGAGGAGGGGGCCTAAGAAGCTTAGGTGAACTTATAAAAACAAGTTAATGAGCCGTCAATTCCTTTAAGAACTTTGGACTTCATAAGAAATAGCCCAACTCCCATCGTCATATAGAATAAGAGATGAGGAACTCATGCAAGACAAGTCAAAAACCCAACTGAATGGGTAGAAAAATACCAACCGAGAAATATTATGTCGATTACACTCATTAACGTAAATTTATCTTTTAAAGATAAAAAAATGATGTAAATTTTAAAATCCGGGGTCAAAAATAAGCTTTTTAGTTCGTTTAGTGATCGAAAAACGAGCACTAAACATAGGTATTCGCAAGTCACTGTTCACACTCTGAACGGGTCCCAGCGCTCACAACACCTCAGACTCTACTATTCATCTGGGACTCGGAACATCATGTATACTTTCTACATTATGTATTTTTGGTATTTTATTTTCTGTTTTTATTTCTTTTTCAGAAAAATATCAAAATACCAAAAAAAAATTATTTTCTGTTTTTATTTCTTTTTCAGAAAATTTTAAAATACAAAAATATTTCCTTTTCCGTTTTAATTTCATCTTCAAGAAAATCCAAAATACAAAAATATTTTCTTTCTTGTTTAGGTTTTGTCTTTTCATAAAATCAAAAACTCCAAAAATATTTTTTTTTTGTGTTATTTTTTTAAATTCATTTTATCTTAGGTACAATTTCGTCATCACGATTCGGAATGATGGGGCGGGTATATAACTCTGATTCTATGTACTAGCTAAGTGTCCCTAGAAGTATGTTGTTGAATGTTGAGCAAAGCCTCTGAGACTCCATGCTGAAGCCTTAATGAAACTTTCACTCCGAATGTTTCTTCCCAATCAGGCTACTATTCATATAAGTCATTGAGCTATCTTACTCTTCTCATATTGAGTTAAGAGTTGACTGTTTAGTCATTCGCAATATAGAAGAGATACATTTTTATCTTCGGAACCACCTTATATGTTCTCCATTACCTTCACTTTCACATTCGTAACCCCTAAGACTCTCAGAAATTACCACTGAGGTTTATGGTTACACAAATTTTGTGTTTATGATCTTCAAATTGTTATCACCACGATTTGAGTGAAACCTAAAATCTGAATCCTATTTATGTATTGACGGTGAAAAATTAATAAGCTAGAATTTTCACCATGGAATTGACGACAATCAAACGCTCGTGGTTTGTACCTTGAAATTTCATCATTTTTATTTCTGTGAGATCTTAATGGAATGTTCTCGAACTAAGACATTTCTTCCCAATAGATCCAGCTTTTCATTTTTTTTTTTTTGAGATTTTAAACTTGTCTAGCCACTTCAATAACTCCAAAGCATACTTGTTATTATGGCTACATTGGTCAGACAAGTACTTCTTCCATACTTTCGGACTTATGTTAAGTTTCGTAGTTTGGTTGAAGCAAAGCCACCCATTAAAGCCTAATGAAAGAAGCATTTCACTATTTCTCAACAAATAAATGATCGTAATTCAACGCGAAGCCATGCAAATACTTCCGAGTTTCTCTTGACTCCAAAGGAAGAGATCGTTGTTCAGGATCCATCTGTTTTATGTTAATTTCATATTGACATCACAAAATCCCAGATATATTTTGTTTTATTTCTTTATATTTGTCACACTCTTGCACAAAAATCCTCGTTATTTTCCAAAACTCTGGTTCTAACCTCTGAATGATTACTTTCAATTCCGAGAATAGGTTATGGTGAATGATGCCAAGTTCCGAACGTGCAAAACTGAAACAACGATATTTAAGGGATAAGCTTTCAATTTGGGCGCGTGAAGTTTTCAAAATTCCTAACATCACATTTTGTCAGTTACGCTACCTGACATCACGCCTATCAGTCACACTTTTTCAGGCGACTTTTCAGGGAAATGAATCGTCTTACAGCTGGCTTTCTCTATCCAGCCATACCGTATTTAAGGAAAAAATGACAATTGCTTTACTCACCACTTTCAAAATATCTCAAGCAAAACCATCTTTCTCTCAAACATTGTTCATCTTTTCCATTTGCATCAACGGCCATCTCTTCTGAAACTCCATCCATGGGTGACCAAACCGCTTCATCAGGGATACTAAACATCAAAGCCAACCAAAATCTCATATTAGATATCGACTCATCCAAATACATTGTCTCTCTCTAACCGATGATTTAGTGCCTTCGTGACTCTCCGTTAGGACTAGCTTTTACCATGGCAAAGCATGTCCCATTGGTTCGTCTTTCCAAGGCTTTCTCTACTGCAAGTTACCAACAACATGAGTCTGTGATTACTTATGAGATTGACTCTCATAAAACCTCAATTTCCATGTCCCGATTCAGTCAACTGCTAGGGTTTTCTCAAGCTCGGGATCTGACTGATTCAGATTCAATCTCTTCGTCTGCAACTCAGGAGATGTTTTACCAGATAGGTTACATGGGAAATCTCGCCATTTTATCAAAGTGTAACGACCCAAAAATCCATACCAAAAAATTCCTTTAAAAAAAATTACTTGAACTATATTTATAAAACCATAAAGTCATTCATAACATAAACTCAGAGTATTGATTCAAAACATGTTCTTATTATCAAAGTAAACATCCCAGGCTAAAACTCCTTTAGTGTGTGCCATGTGATCACCCTGAGCTCTACCCTCCGCTACCGGAAGTACCTGAAACCAAAACTGAAAACTGTAAGCACGAAGCTTAGTGAGTTCCCCAACCTACCACATACCATACACATATCCACGTACTGGGCCCCTACCCGCTGCATCAGGACTTGCCCGGCATCGGACTCGCTCCGGCATCGGGCCCCGCCCGGCATCAGGCCCCGCCTGGCATCGAGCCCTGCTCGGTATACAGATCTATCTCTCTTAGGCCCTGCCTGCCTTTGGGCCTCACCCGTTAAGCATATAAATAGCACATAACAAATAAGCTAACATACTCTACAATAGTCATATGCTGAGGCCTCACCTATCTTTGGCCCTGCCCCTGTCCTACTACTGATGATTCATGAAACCCTGTCCATTCTCCTGTTGTTGGTGAGATATGAGTCCCCGCCCACACTCACTCCTCTCCTATCTCAGGCCTCTCCCCTTCTCTACTACTAATGAGATACGGAACCCCATCCATACTCTGCTAGTGATGAGATACGGGACCTTGTCCACACTCACCTCCTTACCAGGCACATAAAAGTATCACACAGACAACAAGTATAATCTAACATGCAACATACATCGGATTTACCCTAGCATCAAACCTTAGTCTCGAATATCATACACATAAACCTGTCTCGGGCACCCGCCCGGCATTGGACCTTGGTCCGGAACATAATACTAGCATACAGTGCCTAGGGCTAACCCCCAGGGCTTCCTACTCATAAGTTCATGGGCCGACATTCTGGCTTTAGACCCATTCACACAATGAGGAGACTCACCTTGCACTGCTGATCCCTTGTTGATACACTTCTAGCTGCTATCTGACAATCCCGCATTACTGCTCCTCTAGTTCCCCGAACAATCAATACCACAATAATACTTAGCCCAATACAATAATCCTTCTTAGGGTAGAATGACCATTCTACCCCTCCTAGTCCAACTTAATACATATTCAAAGTCCAACACTATGTAAGCTTCCCAAGCCCACTAGTGACCCACTCATGGCCCAATTTGCTAAATTAGGCCTAATCCCTTTAACGGGCCTTACCCTAAGCCCAATTATATTCCTTGGCCCAAAATATCTGATTTTTGATGGCCCGCTAAGGCCCAAAAACTCAAACATCCCCCAATCCACAACCCAATAATTTGTGACCCATACAAACAAAAATACGTGTGGCGTACGTCTACGTACGCTAAGCGTACATGCATGATGATGTGTACGCTGGGCGTACCTGTACATACACTCAACGTAATTTCCTCTGTTAAGACCTTTTCCCAATAAGTGCTTCACACTCCAAACCAAAAGCTATAATCACATATCCAAACCCATTAAGACGTCTTAAGCTATAAAGTCGACTACTTGGTGGTTTGCAACCCACTAAATGAGCCCAAACTTGAATGTAACAAACTACTTCCATAACAAGGGATAGATCTCATGCATGAGCTCATTAGGACCATAAAGATCGAGACTTTACTACCTATGGGGCACTTTTAGCTCTAAGGGTGGCAATCCCAAGCTTAAGAACAAAGTTATATCATAAAGGTCCTATCTTTGGACATAAAAAGATCCTAAAGCTCTCTAAGTCTAGATCTAAGATTCTATGAGGAAAGTTAGAAACTTTATATCTTATGGGGCTTGGAAATGAGCTAGACCCACGCGTGCACTACATGCATGCAAGGGATTACCTTGCCAAATTTTCCATTAAGGGGCCCTAAATGTCATTCACTTCAAAGTACTATAACTCCTTCATTCTAAGTCCGTTTTCGGCAAACTTTATATCCACGAAAAGGTGGCGAGAAGCCATACGCTTCCAGCAACACACCTCAGCCAGAGACCTTCTTGAATAAAACTCAGAGCTCATAAATGACCAAAACGCCCCTAGGTTTAGCTTCTGAAATCAATATATGAATATTTTAGAACAGAGCGTTACACAAAGTTCAAGAAGCCAAACCTTTCTCCGATGTGGAATGGCCTTTTTACCCTTCTTTTCAAAAGCTTTTCAGAGCGGGTCACAGGGTCGGATAGTGTAAGTAAGCTTTTTTTTGTAGTATCATCTATGGCTTATATAATGGAATCAACCTCGATTATGGTTCCATACTTTGGCAACAACTAGTTCAGAGAACTCTTTCCACAACACGACACTCGGAGATCTCTTGTGCTTGATTCTGATTCGTCATTATCCAGAGGGCCATCACTCACCTCAACGTTCCGGTGGTCACAGGCATTATCATTGCAGCTATTCCAATATTTCACACTTTGAAGTTCATTGTGTCTGATCCTACGAAGTTCGACTTTATTGGTTCAGTTCCGAAGGTGATGCTCAACTATATTCCAACAAACAACGAGCTTATTAACGGATATCAAAAGAAACCTACATCTGGTCCTCGTCCTCTAACACCTGAGATACGAACAGCTTTGGAGGAAGTGAATAATCCTTAAAAAGTAGGTAAGCGAAAGGCGAAGGTTGGCCCCTTCGAGCTAGCTCAAACTCCGAAGAAGAAAGTCAAAACGGCTGCTCGGAAGCCTAGGTCTCCCTATCCTATTTTCGAGGAGGATTCGGAGCCTCACACAATTTCAGACGTTCAAAGAACCGTGCAAGTCCAGCACGAAACCGAAGATACAACTACGACTTCGCAAGAAATGATCTCGGAACCATCTCCTACTCGCACCAATCCACAGGTGAATTTTTCCATGCCCACCTCCGTACCTTTAATTGAAGATTTATTTCAGGGTCTTACCCCCTCCATCTTCTCCTACTACTACTACTACCCCTATCATACATGCTACATGTCCCAATGTATCGATTGGTGTTTCGCAACTCCAGACTTCCATTGCTCAATCCACCCCACTCTATATTGATTCTACAGCAACAACCACAACCTCCACTCGTACAGCACCGCTAACTGTCAACATATCTGATACAAGGCAAGTGCTTCTAGTGTCACTTTTGGTTCTAACTTCACTTGAATCTCACCACTACGCAATGATGATCCTGATACCATCTTTGGAGATGATCATGATGACTTCCAAGATTTTAACTACAGTTCATTCAACGTTCAACCATCAAGTAATGACGGAGATGCACCCATGACGAAAGGGCAATTCAAATCCCTAAATGAAAATTTGGATACTCTACTTAAGTCTTCCAAAACTTCGTCAAGCACTAAATACTCTTATGAATCTTTCAAAGCATTAATCGAGACATTCACCAAGGAGCATGCCAAAAGTCTCGATGCATCTACAAAAGTTGTGGAAAATTTAGAGAAGATTATTCATGAGGCAACCCAAAAAGTTGAAACACTAGTGAATGATGTGACCAAGTTTATGGTGGACTTTCGTCATTCCTCGGAAAAAAATACTAAACCTACAAATAAGGTCATTATGAGTCTTGGCTTGACTCTTAAAAAAGAGATAGTTGCTCTTTCGAAGGTTCGCACTAACATTCAAGCTGATAATGTTGAGTTGCAAACCTTAATTAATTTCAGGCTTAATAAGCTTCAAGAAGACCTTGTTGTTGAGAAATCACTTATGGATAAACTCTCGGTCAAAACCGAGAAGATCAAAGTTTTTTCTATGCAACTGTTGCATGCAAAATAGCAGGTTGATGAACTTAATTCTGAAAAGGTTGTGATTAAAAGTTGTGTTGGAGATGTTAATCAATACTTGCAAAATCTCATTGAGACTCATGATTATTTACTCACAGTCTCCGTTCGCCAACATCGGGCTGATAAACTTAAACTCGTCTTCTCAATGCTCAATCGAATAGAGGGTGTTTTAGAGTCTGACTCTCTTCTGAAACAAGGGGGAGAAGTCAAGAAACCAGCTGATGATGGTTCTGGTGAACATGAACAAAAACCGAATCCAAACGATCTGAAGGGTAATGAAGCTTCGGTATTGAAAGGTAAAGGAAAATTGATCGATGGTGATGAAGAAGAAGAAGAGGATTAATGGGAAAATCTCAAACGAAAGTCTCGTGATAAAGAGCTTGATGAAAATTTGCGAATTGTGAAAGAAGCTGATTCTCGGGAAAGAGCTTCGTGATGCACAGGTAACACTGGAAACCCAAAAGTCTCTTTTCCCTCCTTGGACTATGGAGCGAATCAAGAATAAAGCGATCGACAATCCAAGTACTTACTGTTGGAGCCATTTGTTTCATTTGATCTGGAGAACACTTCGGATTAGCAGCTTGACGTTCCAATAACTCCAAAGGCATTCTTGTTTCGTAGTTTTAAAAAGATTGAGAAAGCTCCCATTATAGACTATGACGTCAACCATTCACTTTTCTCTTTCTACCTCAATCACGGGATGCCTCAGTATAAAACTTGGAGTTCAATGAAAATTATAGTTGTGAAAGTCATCGGTCCAATTGAAATGTAAAGCTTTATCAATGCTCGATTCAAAGTTGTTCGTTCAGCAAAGAGTTCAGATTTTAAGTGACTTGACGTATCTTAACCCATATGATTGGATTTCCTTGTTCCATCTCTTGTAAAGGATGAACAGAAATTCGAACCCATCACGGAACATGTAAAAAGGATGTTAATCTCCTACATCCAAGAAGTTGGTAAGATGGATGTGCAGATTGTGATCGTGCTCCGAAAGAAACTCACTGTGCTGCCTAAATAAGCTCCGAATGACATCAACAAGATGAGGTTGGGCAAATTTAAGAAAGATAACTAGAGTGTGGTGTTTCATCAAAGTTCTAGAGATGGTATGAATGTCCAGAGGTGTTTATTCTGTTTACCAGACAAGCATCTTTATTCCACATCCTTTATGAACTATGTATTGGGAATAACAGAATAGTGCAAAGGGAACGATGTTGCCACCAAGAAATGCTTCGTAGATATGATTAAATGGTACATTCAGGTTCGCAACACCTTTCTTGGTCTAATGCCAAAAGTATTCAAGGTTCAGAAGCATCAACAGCACTGAAGAATTTCCTTCCTTAATTGACACAAAGGGGGAGATTGTTGGGATATTTATTGTGTTGTGTTAATTTGATTATGCATGTTTTTAGTATTTATTATTATCGGATTGGGCCTGCCCATCCGTCATAGCTAGGGTTAGACTATAAAAATAGTATGCATGTATCATTTTAGGGTTAATGTTTTGATTGCCCTATGTATCTTTATAGAGAAGTTTTAATCGAACTCTTCTAAGATATTGATAGTAAAGCATTCGACACCCTTTCAATCATATTCAATCTCTGTTCTTGTTGTTTGATTCATAGAAACTGTTTTGAATCTATTTATCTTTATTTTAGTGTTTCTACAGTGCAAGATTCAATATCACCCTAGTAAGGCTAACATAGTATCCAATGCACTAAGTAGAAAGCAACGAGCCAAACCTCATAGAGTGAAAGCACTCACTCTAACCATTCAATCAAACCTACCTACCCAAATCCGGGAAGCACAAATAGAGGCATTTAAAGAAGAAAATAAGGTAGAGGAATGGTTACAAGCTATGGAGAAACAATTTCAGCCCAAGGAAGATGGAAAATTATGTTTCATTGACCGAATCTAGGTACCAAAATTTGGTAACATCGAGAGCCTAGTACTAGATGAAGCTCATAGGACAATATACTCAATTCACCTAGGATCTGATAAGATGTATCTCAAATTAAAGAAAAAGTATTGGTGGCCAAACTTGAAGGCAGAAATCGCCACGTATATGAGCAAATGCATGACTAGCACTAAGGTCAAGGCAGAATACCAAAAAAAGCCATCATGTTTACTACAACAACCCGAAATACCCGAGTGGAAATGGGAGAAAGTCACCATGGACTTCATCATAAAACTGCCCAAGACACCTAGCGGTTACGACATGATTTGGGTAGTAGTCAATCGTCTGACTAAGTTTGCCCATTTCCTACCCATCAAGGAGATAGAAAAAAATAAATGAGTTAGCCAGGACATATATTAAGGAGATAGTCCGGCTACATCCCGGTTCTGGAAAACAATATAAATGCATTGGGAACTCAACTCAATATGAGTACTGTTGGATTAGTGTCTAAGTCCATAACTATTTTGGTATGTACTTGACCCGATGGTGCATGGTCCTTTTGGGTTGCCTTCACCAAAGCAACTTGATAGGATGAATTATGGAGAGAAAGGATTAAATATGATTTATTAATATATTATGAGAATAATATATTAAAGGAGAAATCATATTGTTTAATTAATATTAGTCAATAGTTAATTGGTAATTAGTTTTGTGACTAAAATAGATTAATTAAAATTAAGGGACTGGAATTGTAATTATAAGATAATTATAATTTGGGCCATGGATTGCCTTGTATCAAGGGTTGGACGAATTCTATGGGGAAGCCCATAAGGAAATCGTCCAAGGGCTTGATTAAAAGGAGTCTATGGGTTGCTTAGGGCTTAAGCATCCAAATTAGGGTTTCCTTGTTAGATAACCCTAATAGCTCAACTATATAAAGACCCCTTAAGGCTCAAAAATGTGGCTAAGCTTCTTACTAGGGTTTCAAACGAGATTTGGTAGCCTCCATCCTCTCTCCTCTTCATCCTCTTGCTTATGGTGTTTGTAAGCCATTAGAGGAGTGACACTTGTGACTCTAAGCCTTCCAAAGTCAAATTCAAGGAGGAATTGGGATTGTTATTGCTACATAACAATCAAGGTATGATCTTAAACCTAATTACATATTGATATGATTACTTGAATGCTAGAATTAGGGTTTATAGTCTTGGATTCAAAGCATGTACAATAAAGAAACCTAGATCCAAGCATTAGGGTTTGTATGAGCACATAGGATGTCTTATGACCAAAACCCATCAAGTACAACCTATCATTCGCATACAGATGGTCAAAGAAAAATAACCATTCAAACCTTGTAGGATATGCTCAGAGCATGTATGATATACTTTGGAGATTCTTAGGATACTCACTTACCGTTGGTTGAGTTCTTTTATAACAATAGTTACCATAGTAGCATAAATGTTGCACTATTTCAAGAAATTTGTGGTAGAAAGTGTCGTTCACTGTTATGTTGGGCAGAATTCAGAGATACCCAACTAGCAAAGAAACATGCACAAGGAGCATGTATCCCCATTTATTTATTTGAAAATGCCCCGACTAAACGTTAAATTTTGGAATGAGATTTTTTTCAACGCGGGGAGGATGTTACAACTCAAAAAATACATCATCAATCGCCATTATGATTTAATGATAGAACATGAAATTGTAATAAGGACAACCTTGTAACCATCTAGTATATTTTAATATATTCAAATTTTTCATCCCCATCTATGGTCCATTTAATAATGACTTTTGTTTCAAGTCTAGTATTATCATTCTTTCAAGTTCAAGTATCCTTTGTATCCTATTACTTTTACTCGATAATTCATTATTCAAGTACCAAAGGTTTCTCAAGTTTTGCAACTCTATCTTTCAGTTCAAGTAGCTCTTGCTTTTCTTTTTGATGATTCACTCTCTGCCACTACTTTATTCCCTCTTTCATATATCTAAGTTTCGCAGGTAGGTATTTTTCAAGTTTAAGTAACGAAATCATTTACATAAAATATAAAATTCCAATCACAATTGTTTTCAAAATCCATAACATCAGAATGTCCCAAATAAAAATGCAAGAGAGTGCCTGCGGCACCATCACGCCAGGCTCTTGGCCTTAGATCCTGAAGAATCTGAAACAACCAACAAACTATAAGCTATAGCTTAGTAAGTTCCCCATAACATACCCCACACAATCCACATAATCACATAAACCATATTAGCCATATAAGTTACATAAGCCACATCAACCATATAAGCCATGCAAATAAACATATAAAGATGCCATAGAAACCCTCCATGGTCTTACACCAGGTGTCACTAGAACCCCCACGTCGTCTTAACTCCCACATGGTCTTAACTACCTGCCATGGGAACCCCCACATGGTTTTAACTACCCGCTTTGGGAACCCCCACATGGTATTCCCTAACTGCCATGAGAACCCCCACGTGGTCTTAGCTAACTAAAGAAATGTTATATAAGCTAAACATGCAAACATACTAGGATGCCATGGAAACCCTCCAAGGTCTTACACCGAATGCCATGGGAACCCCCACATGGTCTTAGTCCACTGCCACGGGAAACCCGCGGTGTCTTCCATGCGAGTATCATAAGGACAACTAGCATATCACATATCACATAATCAACTGGCATTCCACATAACACATAATGGGTCGGTCTTGGTGCCTTCGACCCATTGGTATGGTGAGGAGACTAACCTTAGTCTGTTCAACAAGAAAGCTGCTCGCCTAACAGTCTGAAACCACCTGTGCTGAACAATAATACCATTAACCCAAAATTAGGATTAAATGCAATCTAATTAAAGAACCCAATTACTTAAGCCCAAGTCCTTTCATAATGACCTAAGAGTCTTTCCTTTGCTAATGGGCTTAAAGTCCATGTCCAAAGCTATTAATGGGCCTCATGGCCCAATAAGGCCCAACTAAAACAACTATGGCCCCAAAACACAAAAACAACCCAAAACTCAAAAAGGAGTCCAAACCTAACGTTGAATAAGTCCTGATGGCTTGTGGGCCCAAAACAATCCCAAAACCCATCCGAGTGTGTACGCCTTGTGTACCACTCCTGTACGCTCAGCATACTAGTTCCTTAATCAGTACGCTCTGTATGCATGCTACTACGTGCGGCGTACAAGTCAACCATGCACAAACGACCATTAAGCTCTTAATGCTTGGGATTTTAACGTCCAACTTTATATTTGAGTCCATTAAGATGTCTTAAGGCATAAAATTGGCAACTTTACGCCTTTGCATGTTCCATATGCTCCCCACAACCCTTTACAACCCATTAAGACCTTTCCAAGGGTCTTAACTCATGCATGAGGTCAATAGACCCATCAAGACTGCATTTTTATGGTATGAATGAAATAAGGGACCTCAGATCTACTCTTCCTAAGCTCTAG